AAAGAAAGATAGACTGGGGCTAAGTTACGTAGGGCATTAGAAGCTAAACATCATGTTTTAAAGCCTAAACAATTAATGATTTGTAGCTGCTGATTTCCAAGCTGTAAATGCTCACATTGCAAATTTAACAAAGAGAGTTGTTGGAGTTGACTTCAATACACCTTGCCTTATCTTTTTGGATTTTATATAAGATTGTTAACTCAGAAGCCGTAGGGGTTGGAAGAGTAAACTTCCAAATACCCACAGAGCTTTACAAGGGGGAATGGCTTTAATTAATACAGCTATATACAAATATATGTGAACATGCATTTGTTCTCTAGCAAGAAATATAAATTCATTGACGTTTCCCAGAAGAAGGATGGAATTTTAAATTATAAACTTATAAGATGCAAATTAATCATTATATGAATCATTAAAAAGGTAATAAAAATTACAGTCGAGAGAGGAGAAAAAAATTCTTCTTCAAACCGTCATTTAAGAAGAGCCCCCAAAGTAGCCATGTCTCCCTCTTTCCCACCTGGCTTCTCCATCATGCCCCTATACCAGCTACCTTCCTCTTCTCCCTTTTCATTTTCAGTGTCTTGTCTTCCCTGTTAAGTTGTAAGTTCCTTGAGGACATGGCTTTCTTTTTCATATTTGTATCCATAGCACAGTTCCAGGCACATAATAGATGTTTAATAAATATCTATTATTAACACAAGACAATATGAAATGAATCATGAGTCAGTTATAACAAGCTCCACAACACCCACCTAAACAGATCACTGAAGACAAAAAATGAAATGTAATTGGAAAAAATGACGTAGATACCAATGAAATTTAACCAACAGAAATCAAAAAAGGGCCTAAAATGTACCTTAGTCCAAAAAATACTTAATCTTGCCTAGCAAAGGGACAAAGGTGGTTTAGAATATGAACCTTACTGGAAAATCTTATGGAGAAGGATAGTGGACAGTTATGAACAGTTGTACCTCAAAAAAGTAAGAAGTAATGGAAGGTACTAAGAAAACCAACTAAAGTCAACTCATCTCAAGGAGTTTAAGCATCAAATTGTAAAGACAATAAGTGAATAAAAGACAGAACAGATCTACAAAGATTTTAGCGTCAAGAACGGTGGAGGTAACCCACGGAGAAGAGGAAGAGAACAAATTTGGGAAGAGTAACTAGACTAAACCAAATGTCCCTGTGCTGGAGGTGGCACAAGATACAGAGAGAACAAACTGTATGTTTAATTTTCCATCTATACAAAATGTTGATGAGAATAATCTATCCATATGTTGAATGCATCTTTGATGAAGGTAATAGTAGGAAATTAGCAGGCATTCATAAATGATGGTAAACATACATGAACTACATCTTTACTATCACATAAATGACTGAAAGAGGCAGCAAATACAATATCCTACCCTGCTTATTTTCTGTAGACGATAAAAAATGCAAACATTTGATTTGGCACAGCAAAATGCCAACTTAAATTTTGTCTTTCAACAGAGTACCTCCCAGGCATATGTCAGAGTTATGCCATATTCAAGTGTATGTTCATTACTGTCATGGAGAAGATTCAATGCATGGTTCAGGTCAAAGAGAAATTTCCCCATAGCAGTTAAGTCTTCTCAACATTCCTGTTTTTGTAGAAGACATTGGCTTCATCCATTCACAGAATACTGTAATCTGACAGAGTTTGGCCTAACCATGCATACACAAAAAATTCAAGTAGATGAAAAATGCCTATTGCCTAAACCAGAGATGTCAAACTTACTGCCCCTCCCTGGTCTGAAAAGACCAGATTAAAATGTAATTGGGAAATGTTTAGTAAATTAAGTAAAAAATATAATATGATATAATAATGTTAATTTGTAGTTTTCTAAGTCAATATGTGAGATAAGGGTCCATTTCTATTTGAGTTTAACATCACGGGGCTAGACTATGCTATTTCTTGGACAGACATGGTAAATGGACAATGAGTTGGGCCCAGAATTAATTAGAAGGAGGACAGCATTCTAGATTGCATTTAACACTCCCAAACTTATCCATGAAACAAAGGCTTACCTTTTGAAAATGAGTAGTCTACTAGTATTATTATTGTACTGCTTTGAGTTGCAGAGTCCTGTAATTCTGAAGAATTAAAAATGATTATCAACCAGAGAATGAAATAAAAACATATGGTAGACGAGAATAGGCTGGATCAGGTTACAAACAAGGAACTACAAAAGAAAAGCAGGGAGAAGGATGCCATGAGGAAAATCATGACCAAGAAAAGAAGATAGAATGGTTACACAGAGTAAGGAATAATCAGTAAACTAGGCCCAGGCATCTTGTGATGCCAGGAGAAAATGGGGAAGGACCCCAGCACATAGGGTGCATTCCTTGTAACCATCTCATGGGAGGGCATGGACAAGCGTTAACATAGGTGGGTTGAGATTTGCATTGTTGGAGAGACTATCTACATAGATGAAATCACACATCCCTTTAAGTACTGTAGCACAAACTCAATATGTCCCCTTACTATTTCATGACATTTTCTCTTAGAAATCTAGCCTTTATCGTTTCTCACCTGATCAATACAAGATACTCTTACCAGCCTCCCAAGTCAGCCTCCCTGACCCACTGCTGCCTGTAATCTCTGTAACTTCCCTGCTCAAAAGTGAGTGAGATAAGAGGCCTCATTCCTCCCTGCTCCACCTTTACCTTGTAAAATCCAAACTTCTTGGTCTGGCATCCAAAGCTTCCACAATCAGGTTTACTCCATGGTTTCCCTTTTTTTTAATATCCCTGCGCTTTAGTCAAAAAACTGGACTACTTGTCTTCTCCCTAACATTTTCTACTCTACTACCTCTGTATCTATACTTGTACAGTTTCCTGCACCTAAAATGTCCTTTTTCTCTCCCCCAAACTCCATCTTTACCTGCTGAAATACCTCCAAGTCCAACTCATGTATCATCTTCTACAAGCAGCCTTTCCTGATTGCCTCAAACAGAAGTGACTCTTGCTTCTCTGAACTTCCAATGCAACTAGTTTATAGTTAGTTTATGCACTTAATCACATTCTACTTCATATTTTGGATATCCTTAATTCCCAGAACCATACCTTGCAAAGCAGCTACAACAGATTCAGCAAAAGAATGTATAAGGATATACCTCAAATACCAGTTGTATCTTCTACTCCACATCAAACTTGTATTAAAAACAAAAATGTAGTGTGTCTGTGCTTCCATACAAGTCCATCAATAAACTCTGTCTTTTGAGGGGGTCAGGCTCTTTAAGATCAAGGAGATTCGCCTTTCAAAGGCTAGCTGTCAACTGATGAAGCCTTCTCAATCTGGCTTTCATCTTCATCACTCAAATGAACTGGCTGTCTTCAAAGTTACCAAGGATTTCTTAACTGCCAAATCTGATGTTCTAGAATGAGGCACCTGAGTAGGACTTTAGTGGAGCAATGTTTGCTTAGCCTGTGGTAATGAAAGTTGGGGGGAGCTAGGTGGCACAGTAGATAGAGTGCTGGGCCTGCAGTCAGGAAGATTCATCTTCCTGAGTTCAAATCTGGTCTCAGTTAACTTCACCCTATTTGTCTCAGTTTCCTCATCTATACTTTGCCAAGAAAACACGAAATGAGATCACGAAGAGTCAGACACACCTGAAACGACTCAACAACAGCAATGGAAGTTTAATCCCAGACATGACAAGGAGATTGTTGGTTAGGTCCCATCTAGGTGCTATTCTGTTTTTTTAGGTGTGACATTTTTAAGGAGGCTATTAACAAAGTAGAGTACATCCAGGAGATAGTGTGGAAGTTGGAAACTATGTAAATGAGGTTCAGTCAAAGGCATTATTAGGGATGTTTAAGTTGAAGAAGTAAAGATGGGGCCTGGTGGTTGCCTTCAGTTGTGTGAAGTTTCCTCATGTAGAAGTAGGGATTCGACATTCTGTGTGACACCAGAGGATAGTAGCACCAATGGATGACAATTACAGGGAAGCAAATTTTGGGGTCAATTGACAAAAGGACTTCTAATAATTAGTAGCCTCAAAGAGGTGAAATAACCTGAGCACACAAGGAGTGGCAGAGCTAGAACTGGAACCTAGGTCTTCTGACCCCAGAGGCAATGGTCTTTCTCCTATATTATGCCATTTTCTATTGAAAATTGAATGGGCCGTTTTGAAAGATGGTGAGTGCCCTGTCACTGAAGTTTCCCATTAAGAGGGATGCTACGGATGGAGTTGATCATTCCACATGGATTTAGAGTGGATAACTTTTAGATTCTAGGGTTCTCTGACTCTAATACTGATTCTAATCATTCTAAATCTGATAATTTATGGTTTGGAGAGCTTCCTGTCAAAGCAAATGGCATTTCTTAGAATATAGTGCCTGGCACATAATCTAGTATGTTGGACACATTCAGATGTTTGTTGAATGAATGAATAAATAAGATTTGTACCCTACTAGGTTTTGGAAACCCCTTTCAATATGAAGTTCATTGTCTTTCCTGGAGTAGAAATTCTTCAATTTATCTCCTGAATAATTTCCAAAAATATGTTTTGGGAAAAGAATGTTTTTATTTATTTGTAAATATTTGTAATGTAGAATGTGTTTTTATTTATTTACTTATATTTTAGAGCTGAATAGTAAATTTCTTTATTGACCTCTAATGCTTTACTAAAAATAATTTTTTATGATGGTAGCAACTCTTAAGTTCTTTTAGTTAAAAGCATTTCATGTAGGGGTGGGAAATTGCATTTAGTAGTATTAAAAAGGAAAGGAAAGTTAAAGTGACGATGGCCTGATACTTAGGAAAACTTCTGGAGTTTTTACATTAACATTGAACTCCCATAGCTCACAGCAATTTATTGCCAACAAATCTGTTGTTTTTAAATGTCAGAGGATATAATGCTATTATTTTTATAGGCAAGTGCTTTGACACATATTTAAATGTCAGTTGTTTATCAGAGTGACTAAGTGAGAGAGAAAAAGAATTAAAATTCAGTGTTATCTCTTTTCTTACACAGGGCAAAAAGGAAGTGGATGCTCCAGAGTCAACTCTACAAGGAACAGTTGTATCTGCATTAGTGACTTCTGAGTGTGACCCAGAAGTTATTATTGTAGGATCAGGTGTACTTGGGTCTACTTTAGCTACAGTACTTGCCAGAGATGGAAGAAAGGTGACAGTAATTGAGAGAGATTTAAAAGAACCTGACAGGATACTTGGAGAGTTGTTACAGCCAGGAGGCTTTTGTGCTCTTAAAGACCTGGGTCTTGAAGGTAGGTATATATAATGCCAAGATTCTAACTTTTTTCATTGCTATTTGGTGACATACAAAATTTCTGTGTATAGCTGCTTCATACAAAACTTCTTTAACTCAATTAAACGTACATCTCTTATTTCAGTTTATGTCTCTGGAAGCTCATTGAATTCATTAACTTTCAGCTTGACTGAAAACAGAACATAATGGTAACACAAAGGGGCTGATTAGTTTGGGGAGATGGCCAGAAGTTTTTGATAGAATGACTTGAAGATACTACTGTCTAGCTTCTTTTCAGTAGAAAAATGTTCTAGATGCCAAATTTTGTAGTGGAGGATAGAAAGAGACATCAGGGATACTGTGCAAATAGAATTATTACGTAGTGATGGCTTTTAGGTCTCATATAGACATTAAAACTAATAATATAGGTAGAAGTGGGAAAAAAAAAACAAAATAGAAAGATACTGGTATACCTGCTTTTCAGAAGATATACACTGCCAAAGACCTACCGTATGTATTTTTAAGGAGACACTGGATTTTGATGTAGGAAAAAAGTTTGAAAACCATCTCAAACTAGGTTTATTTATATGCTTATCCTGAGATAACTTATCTTGAGGGGACGTCTTTTGTACTCATACTTTTTAGGATTTCCAAAGGTGCTAATGAGCCAACTCTGATTGTGGCATTAAAATAGCCTATGTAATATCAAACATGGAAAACTCAATTTGAAAATTTACTAGAGTAGTGAATAGATTTTCTGCAGATGTTTTCTCAGTCTGTAGAAGGGATGTGAATATTTATAATGATAGAATTTTGCCATGGAACACAGTGGGCTGAATAAAAGACTGAGGCTTAGGGTTCTGTGCTATCTTTTGGTCAGTTTATATAAAAATAACTAACTTGAAATCACAGGATTGAGATCTGGAAGGGACTGCAAAAGTTTTATCTGTTTCACCTCTTCCTCATGAAGAAACAGGCCTCGAAGGGTGAAGAAATGTGCTCATGGTCACATAGGTAGTAAGTAATAGAACCCAAATTCAAAACCAGATCCCTTGGATAGAGCAACGGCCCTGGTGTCAGGAGGACCTGAGCTCAAATATGGCCTCAGGCACTTGGCACTTACTAGCTGTGTGACCCTGGGCAGGTCATTTAACCCCAATTGCCTTGCCAAAAAAAAAACCCAAAAACTCAGATCCCTTAACTCTCAAGTGCAGGGATTTTGCCACCATTTCCTCCTCTTTAAGAAGAGATTTTAACTGGAGGCATCATGAAGAAAAATAATCTTGAAAGGTAAGAGAGTAGGGCAGAAAAGTGGTTAACACTTGGGATCAGATTAAAAGCAGAAAGTGTCAGATTTTTGCTGCAGGGTTAAGTCTTGGTCATAAAATTTGTTCCTGGATCCAGTAAGATTTAAAGAGAGCAATTTTAATAGTCTATCCAAATTTGCAATCTTCAATGTCCTTTCTGTATAGAAAGAATTAAATTTATTGTGTATGTGAAAATTAGAAGATAATGTTCCTGAACTTGATCTGGTTTATGGAGCGCTCATATTGTTTGTTTTCTGCTTTGACCTGATTTTAAACTGTATTATATTTTGGTGCTTCAGGAATCAGATGTATTTGCCTCATATAGAACATTGCTGGGGTCAGCAAATCTGCCACTTCACTTAAAAACAAAGAAACCATTAAAGATTTTTAAGTACCAGAAAATGTACACCTGATCTTGGAAAGATAAGCAATGTGAAATTAAATGACCTATGATCTTCCATTGAGTAAATTTGCTCCCAAAAATGTAGCAGTGATTTCTATGCTACTAATTAACTTTTTAAAAAAGTTAGGATATGTGTTTTTGACATATCCCAGTAGGTTGACCATTTGGTGAAAATTGTTGGGCTACAAAAAAAAAAAATAGAAAATGATTCTCAGCCCTTTCACTTCTGCAGTGACAATGGCACAGTGCTAGAAAAGGGAGCAGAGGCTACTAAGAATCACACTTTTTAGATAGTCCATAAACTTGAACTGGATTCTTGATACTCTAAATGTGAGATCCTTGGCCATTGACACATAAGTGGATATACTACTGGGAGAATACTACTGGGAGAACTGAATTAAATCAATCTTGACATTTTCACTCTATGAAATAAGCAAACAAATGGATGTTGTAGCTAAATGGAAGTTTGGTTCACAGGTTCTCCATGTAGAGGAATAAGATGACTGCTGAGGTCCCTTTAAATTCTTAGATTCTCTGAGTTGGTGGAATTATTTTTATCATATGTCCAAAAACAATAATTTTTTTAAAAAAACCATTTTATAAGAGGTCAGGATATGTATTTAAAGACTGACCATCATCAAAATAATTTCAGATTATGAACTAACATTCGTTCAAGCCCCAGCTAAAATCCTACCTTCCACAGGAGTCCTCTCTCAGTCTCAATTCTACTGCCTTCCCTCTTTGCTGACTGTTTCCTATTTATCCTGTATGTAGTTTATTTGCCCATAGTTGCTTGCTTGCTGTCTTCCCCATTAGATTGTGAGCTCCTGGAGGACAGGAACTGTCTTTTGCCTAGGAACAAAAGGACAAAGACTTGTTGGTTACACAGAAGCCTCATGCCTATGAATAATGAGTACTTTCTCTAAGAAAAATAGTCAGACATTAAAAGACATGGAATTCATTGAATAACATCACAAAAATTGAAAGTGATTATATTTTAATAGACAGTAAACTATTTGTCACTTATATGGGAGTCATCCCTGAATCTGTTGCATGTGTACAGACCACTGACTTTTTAGAGCAAGGATCAGAATGATGATAAAAAACTGAGTAATCGATAGAAGGACATATGCAGAGACCAATTTCATACAGAAGTTTAACCAATGAAAGTCAGTTATCTTAACAAGAATACTAAAAGAAACTAAAAAGCACTTTAGATTTGTGAAACATCACAAAGGCAGCACATGAATAATATGTATGTGTTTAGAGAATATTATAGAGCTATCTGGAAAATTATGTGCAGTATATCCTCATAAAACAAGAGAAAAGTTGTGAAGAGCAAAACAAATTTAAAGAGAGCTTGACAAGAGACCTAAATGAACAAAGTCGTCCTAAAAACTCATCCTTCGTTGAAGAATGAAACTTGGAAGGAAAAAACAATCAGAAGAAAAATGGAAAGGATTTGAAAAGATTTTTATAATAAAGCTCTTTTCATCATCAAGGAAGGTAGAGCTAACACGCTTGAAGTCCTCCATCACAGTCCCAAATGTGTTTGCTTAGAGAGTAGGTAGAAATGGCACTAAAGAAAACAAGGGGGAAAAAAGGAGCTGAATTAGGTCAAGTGTACAGAGAGTAGATCTCTGCTAGAGGAGGCACAATTATAAAGGCATTGAGAAATTGATTTACAGAGTATCCGAAGGGACAAGATGATGCCACAGTCCTAGAAAAAATCTTGAAACTTATTAATTCCTAAAAAAGGTGACTGAGAAAACATTAATTGCTAACCTTATATACTACTTTTCCCATCCACATAAAATTTTTATAAGAATTATCTGTACATGCATCAAGGGCATTCTCAGTGAGGGTATTGGTAGAGGAGAGGGAAGATTTTGCAAGCAATAATCTGGAGAAGACCACATCTTTATTATTAAACAATTGACCGAAAGATGTAGAGAATACAAGATCTCACTGTGCTCGTTAATATTAAAAAGCTTCTGAATTCCGAAGAGCACATTTCTGCCTTGACTGTTTTCTGGCAAGATATCTCCCATATCAGTGTTATTCAAATTTATTTGAAAGGTATAACAGAAAATCTTGTTTGATCTTGTCATAAGTATCAGAGAAGGCATTAAAAAAAAAAAGACTTCTTCCCTATCCCCCATGTAACCATACATCTGTTTAGTATAAACATTTGTATTTGCCTGTACAATGTTTTTCATTTACCTATTTAACATGTGTGTATTGTCTTCCTCAAGGTCAGGGACTGTTTCCTTTTCATCTTTGTATCCCCAGAGCCTAGCCCAATATCTGGCACATAATTTGTGCTTAATAAATGTTTCTTAATTGATTGAGATAGATGTTTTTCGAAGATCATCATTATGGTGATAGAGGAGATCCTATACAGAATCTTAAGTTGAAGAGAATTCCTTGTGGATAGTGAGTTTCTCAAGAAGCTCCAGTTTTTGTGGATGACATCATTCTGGTTACATCAAGCCCTAGAACATTGCAGTCTCCTGGAAGAGATCTATAACCACTCAGAAGAATTTGGCCTAACTCCTCACAAGAAAAACTCAAGTAGATGGATAAAGACTCTGTTGCCCAGATTATTACAATGTAGTCAGATGACAATTTTTAGAACTTTTCAACCTTTATGTATATTTGTTGTTGTTCAGTTATGTGTATTTGTTGTTCAGTTGTGTCCAACTCTTTGGTGTTTTCTTGGCAGTGGTACTGTAGTAGTTTGCCTTTTTCTTCTCTAACTCATTTTACAGATGAAGAAACTAAGGCAAATAGGGTTAAGTGACTTGCCAGGGTCAGTCACACAGCTAGTAAGTGTCTGAGGCCTATTTGAACTCAGGACGATGTATTTTTGACTCCAGGCTTAGTACTCTGTCCACTGCGCCCCCTAACTGCCCTTTCTGTGTATAAAATATGTAAAAACTGGTGAATGAGTCAGTCCTTGAAACATACAAGAGGAAGAAAGGGCTGCATTGCCTTTGGACATTGGTGAAGTTCTTCTAATGATCTCAGACTTCTTCCAGAAACAAAGGCCGAGTTTGTAAGTGCCAACATTCCATCGCTGTTGTATGATAAAGGGCTTAGAGCACTACCATTTCTAAGAAATTAAAAATATGTGTCCCATGGAGGGCAGTGGAGAGGTTCATGGTGGGTTTGAGTAGCTTATAACAACAAGAAAGAAACCTGAAAGAGCAGGAGTAAAGGGTGTCATTACAGAAATATGTGAGCTAAAAAGCTCATTGGCTGGTCCCATGGCAAGAGCCGATAGACATAGTAAGTGGATAACCTCATTGCTGCGTCGGCGTCATTGAAATATCAGGAGAAAGTGAGGAAGGCCTCTAGCACTTTGGTGCACCCCCTGTGCAGTGGACAGGCCTGTGTGCATCTCAGTGTCTGCATGATTCCAGCAAACATCACATCAGTGAGATGACAGATCCATCTGAGCATTTGTAGATGTTCCATCAGCATTATAGTCTGTGTCCTGCTTTACTCTTTGGATTGCAGCTCTTTGAGGACAGAGAATGTCTTAAGTTTTATTTGTAAACTCATGGGCACAGTTGAATGTGTTGAATGGTGTTGCTTTGCAGGTGCAGTGGAAGGTCTTGATGCCCACGTTATTCATGGCTATGTGGTCCATAACCAGGGGTGCACGGAAGAAGTTGAAGTCCCATTCCCATGTACGGCAAGCAGCCAGGTGCTGAGCGGCCGAGCGTTCCATCATGGACGGTTCATTGTGAATCTCCGAAAGGCAGCTATGGCAGAGCCAAAGTAAGACAGACTCCAGCTTGCAACGTTGTAAAGACTACTACCTACTGCTAATGATGTCTGACAATCCTTTCGCTTTAGTACAAATATTAAGTGAATTTTCCTGAGTGATTTCTATGGCAAATATTAGAATTTAGTAGATCCATGACATCAAAAGTGTGGATATTTCCTCTACGAGTGAAGATCACAGCTCTTCTAGGCCTTTTTATCCTATGTGATTCTTGTGTCTTTTTATAAATCCCCTATTGAGTAGCCATCTACCCAGTGTGCTAAAGAACTTCTTTTGGTTCTTTTAATATCTGAGAGCTACCAGTGTATCATTTGGGCTACTTAAAATATATAACACATTAAGTATGGTGTAATTTAATTTTCAGGGCATTTCACCTATTCATAGATCTAGATATGGAAAGGATCTCAGAAGCTACTTAATACAACCAATTCATTTCACAGAGGAGGAAACTGAGACCAGGGAGTCTGTGACTTGCTTTTGAAGGCATAGCATAGAAATTTTCTTTGGACCAATAATAGCTCAAATTTAATGGCTTTTCCCCAACACACCTATGAGGGAGGTAGTACAGGTATCATTATTCCAATTTTATAGATAAGAAAGCAGATTGAGAAAGGTTAAGTCACTTACCCATAATGATTCAACTAGTAAATGTTGAAATGAGAATTTGAACTCTGGTCTCTTACAGGTTCTGTGCACTTATTGCTACATGATGCGTTGACCAAGGCTCAAAGTCATTATGCGTTCAGTTGGATACTTAGATTTGTGGATGTTATAGTGTCAACATCCACGACATATATGATGTAGTGGATAGAGAGTTGTCCCTGAAACCAGGAAGACCTGGGTTCAAGTCCCACCTCTGACATATCCTGGCAGGGTGACCCTGGGCAAGTCACTTAAATTCTCAGTGACTATTTATGCAGCTATCTAAGATTCTGAGTGGCTGAATTTCATTGGTAGTGGTCATTTCCTCACCTAGATATTTCCCCGTACCAATGAATAGGTCCAGTCCTAACCCTATCCATATCTATAGACTACAGGGCCACAATGTATGTCAACCTAGCCTCACTGCTGACCCTCAACAGATGCTATCTAAAATAAATTAAACCTTGATTATGCAATGTAATATAAAAGCGTTTATTAAGCTTTTATATGTGCCAGGCATTGTGCTGAGTGCTGGGAATACAAATAGAAGAGTAAGACAGTCCTTGTTGTCAAGAAGTTCACATTTTAACTAACGGAGGTATCACATAAAGGAGGGTGCAGCTTCAAGGCAGATGGAAGGGCCAGGTTGGTACTTGGGGACTAGTAAGCAAAGTAGCAGGACATATGGATGATTGTTGGTCCCAAGACTTGGGGCACAGAGGGGTTTTGGGTTATCTCTGGGCATAGGTGGGGATTGGGGAGCAGGGGGAGAGGGTGGAAATTAGCTTCTACTAAGAAAGGAAAAGAGAAAGATTCCCTTAGAGCTACTACAACTAGTTGGCAGGCTGGAGGTAGAGATGGAGAAGGTCCTTATTTCCCCACCATGCCTCTGATGGTGCTGCTTGGTTCTCAGGTCATCAGTTTGTGGTCTGAGACTGTCACTGAAGCAGTAGGCCCTGGGGTATGCCAGATGCTGGTGCTGATCTGTATGGCTAATCTTGAAACTTTAGAATAAGTTATTTTCTTAAAAACTTGAATGTTAACTATGAAACTTGAAAATGTGAGATATATGATATTAGACAAAAACCATATGAACTAAGTTCTTAACTAATTTTCATACTCTATATCATTTATTTTCTAATAACTAGATACTAGATTGGAAAAAAGGTTTTGGTTAAAAGAAATCATTTTTATATTTTTCTTTAGAAAGGTTGAGTGAAATAAATTATGTTGCTTCTTATGTCCATGATTCCAAATTGAAGTACATGTATATAAATAAAATTAGGTTCTAGTAAGTTAAAATGGGAAAGTAAAAAGGAATTTATCAAGACTGACCCAAGTTTCTTAGAGTTTCATTGTTTTAAAACAGTAAGAATCTTTTCATTTTTATTCTCTTCCTGTTCTTTCTTTAGTACAAAGTACATTGAAGGAGTTGTGTTGAAATTGTTAGAGGAAGATGATGTTGTGATGGGAGTTCAGTACAGAGAAAAAGAAACTGGAAATATCAAGGTGAGATTTTATCAAACTCTTCATAAAAGATGGTAGATACTTTTTATTATCAAAAAAACTAGTTTTTTATTCACTTCAGATTTTTATTATTTACTTTTAGTGTTCTTTGAGCACTAGAGGGTGCTAGGCACAAGAAAAGAACAGATTTTAATTTGAAGCATATTAAACTTGTACCATCTGTATCTTTCCATCTAAAATTACAAGGCTTAAAAAGCTCTTGAAACAAGATTTTATAATGATAGTGAATCTGAGATCAGTAATGAACTGTAGTAGAGGAGTAGGGAGAACTGGATTAGAAAAAAAAGAAGGAAAGAAAATGTGAAGGAAGAATGAATGTTAGCTTAATTAGAGTCTCTGATAGAATAACACCATTAAGTAGGTCCTGAAATACTCTGATGTCAGTTCCTTTGGGAAGAGAGAGAAAAAGAGAGAGGGAGCGCTCCTGATCCGGTGGTCCTTTCCTCACTTCTTTTTAGACGTACTTGTTGCCAAGTCTCCCTTTTTTTTCTTAGGATTGTTATAGTTCAGTGGGAGATTTCTCGAGGTTCTTCTTACTCATATTGGAGGAAGTAAAAGTATTTAGGCCAGATGTCTTTATAACAACAAAATAGACAGTGGGCCTATTGAAACACAAAGTTTTGAGAGAAAAGAATTGTGAGTTTTCTTGTAATTTGTAACCGAATTTGACCCGTATCTTCCAGTAATCCTGAGATGGTCAGTATTTGTTTTAGGACCTGCATGGTTTAAATGTTGCAGTTACAGAAAGCAGAATATCCCATGACTTTTGGATTCCAAGATGGTTTGATAGGATAAATACTTAGAAAAGAAAGATCCTTAATCTTTTTAGCTAGACAAAACAACCTGTTTAATAGCAATCTTTTTATATGAAATGTACATATGTAAATAATAGGGGTTTGCATTTTAATTTTAAACATGTTTACTGTACATTTGGTGTCATTTTAGGCTGACAAACATTAATTTATGTTATAGGAGCTCCGTGCACCATTGACAGTTGTTGCAGATGGGCTTTTCTCCAAGTTCAGGAAAAACCTGGTCACCAGTACAGTGTCTGTCACATCCCATTTTGTTGGCTTCCTTATGAAGGTAATGTAAAAATGTATCTAGAGGAGAAATAGTACTAGTTTGGAGTTTGAGAAAACAATTAAAAGGTCATTGTTTGTTTTCCCCAGGATGTGCCACAATTTAAAGCAAACCATGCTGAACTCATTTTAGCAGACCCTGGTCCAATTCTTATCTATCAGATTTCCTCTCAGGAAACTCGGGTTCTCGTTGATATTCGTGGAGAATTGCCAAGAGACTTAAGAGATTATATGGTAGAGAACATTTATCCACAGTTACCTGGTAAGAAAAGGATTTTCTTTCTTTTATTACAGTTTGGGGGTAGAATGTCACAGCCAAAGAATTACATGAATGTCAGCTACTATTATTGGATTTGTTGTTTTCCTACTTCCCTGGCTCCGTTTCTTAATCACATTGTGTCCAAACAATGCTAAACACATGAGCAAATCATGAAAAATTTGTTGAGACGTTTCATTATTTTGTCCAGATCTATAACTTAAAACTCGTTTAACCAAGTAACTAGAGAAAAGTTTGTAATAAAAATTATTTCTACCTACTAACAGATAGTGCTGTTATAATTAAATTGTCATTTTCATTTGCTCTTATTTCACTGACTTATTATTAGTATTATTATTAAAGTTATTAGACATGCTCAGTATTCATAGTTCTCCAGAGTACTGTTTTCTCTGCTTGCTTGAAACTGTACCTTCGGGCCTATTTAGTGCCTATTTCATTCAAAAGTTTTTGATTTGGGAAACACAGGAAAAAAATAAGAGAACATTTATCTGCAAGGACTCTTTATGAAGCAGGAAACAGAAGCCAAACTTGTTGTTAGTTTTGAATAAATGTTCTTTAAATCAGTTAGTTCTGAGTTTTTTACAGGAAAAAATACAATTTTATAAATACCTAAACATGTAAAAAATCTTTATAAACTAATTAACTAAAAGCGACTTTACCTTTTAGAACTAAAACTTTTCAAGGGAATGGGTTTCCTTAGGGGAAACTTAAGTGAATGAGTTTAAGATTTTTCATAGGATTTAAGGCTAGAAAGAAGCTTAGAGATTATCCCCTGCTTTCCAGGGAAGGAAACTGAGGATCAGAGGGATGAAATGACAGTACCCAAGGAGCAGGTCTGGGATTTGCACCGAGCCTGTTTTCCATTTGTTATAAAAATAAAATCCCTAATAGATAATGTTTGCTTTTGTTCTAGTTATTGTGTTAAAAATTTAGTTTTAATGTCTCCTGTTGCCAGATAGTTTTTACTTACATTTAAAAAAAACATATGAAATGTGATGTTCATCTTTCCCCTTATATTTTTACATATATGAAAAGAGCACAGCCTATGATTATTTGTCTTTTTTTTTTAAAGCAATCTTATTTTAGTAATGTGACCTTTATTTGGAAACCTTTCACAGTTGTATTAGTATAGTGACTGTTTAAAACTTGATGCGACATGGTGCTTATGTTGCCCGTATATAATTTCCCAAGGATTATGTAATTCTCATTCTCTGTACATTTCTAAATATGCATGCATGTATATAGACTTCAAAAAATTTAAAGATTTTCAATTAACAAAAATCCTTTTTTTCTTCTCCCTTCTCCTAATTATTGAGGGAAAACTCAAAACTAAGCCAAAAATCTAAAATATGCATACTTAAGCAAAGCTAATTCCTACATTGGCCATTTCCCAAAAATATGTCTCATTCTGCACCCAGATTGTACCACCTCTCTGTCAGGAGGTGGTTAGCGTGTGTGGTTTGGCCATTGTACTGATCAGATTCTGGGAGGAGCCACCTAATCAAAAGGAGAGGCCAAACTAGAATTTGGTTGTCGTTTGCATTTCATTATTCTGTATTATGCTGCCTTTAGTTCGTTGTTTTTTCTGACACTAATAGAATATTAGTCCTTCTCAGTCTCCTTTGCTGGATCTTCATCCAAGTCACCTCTTTTCCCAGTCACAGGTTCTTAGACCATTTTTTTCCTTGATCCACTCTCCAACGCTGAAATTTGTTTTGGTTATGCCTAACCCTTTTCTGAGTCTAATTTCCCTTTTGTTCTACCGCCTCCTTTCCCCCGGTTCTCTCCTGTTTCCTTCTTGAGTTGAATGTATTTCTACACCAAACCCATTGTGTGTGTTTATTCTGTACTCCTTTGGTTCAAATGCAAGTGAGTTTCAAGTGATTCCTGCTCACTATCCCTTTGTCCATGTTTTAAGTCTTCTTGAACGCCTCGATTATATGAGATAATAAATTCAATCCTCTTTCTTCTCTAGTGTACTCCTTTTCCCCCTCCCTTTTTTTTTCTCTTAAGATCATCAAATATAACCCAGGACGTTCTAGACTCTCTGTTTTATTTAGTTTCCTCTGTGCTCTTTGATGACAGGGTTTGGAGAAGATATTCGTCTCTTCTTCCCTTATTGAGATGTAAATATTTCATTCTTGTTTAGTTCCAATTGCTCAAACATATTTGCCTCTTTGTGTTTTACTTGACTTCTGTTTGCTCTTCAGAGTTTCTCCTAAGCTCTGATCATTTCATCAGCAGTGCTTGAAAATCCTCTCTTTCAGTGAAGGTCCATTTTTCCGCCTGTAGGATTATATTCAGTTTTATTAGGTATATATGTTTATCTTTTGCCGTCTGGAATATTGTATTTAAGCTCTCCTCTTCTATGTAGTGGTAGCTGCAAGGTCTTGTATGATCCTGACTATGGCTTCTTGGTACTCAGTCTCTTTTTTTCTGATTGCTTACAGTGATTTTCCTTTGATCTAAAAACTGTAGATCTTGCCTCTTCATCACTTAGTCTGTTATACTTCCTTAATCTTTGCTGTTGTACTTACTGCAAGTACTGTAGCATCTTTCTCTGAATTTCCCCTCCCCCAATCCTACTGCCCCCTCTCTATTAAAGATCATTTGTTACTATCATGGTGTGGCTATCACAGGATTTTGAATTAGGGTCTGGTTTTGAAAACTGGTTACCACCTTAGGAAAATCACATAAGTGTCTAGAGACTCAAGTTAGGGCTAGATGACAACTCAGAGGGACTATATGTAGACTAAACCTCTAGAAACTTTTTTAAATGCCATTTATGCAGAATGCAAGAGTTCTTCTCAGGTTCTGCATCATCATTAATGCTTCAATTTGAATGGATTTTTGAAGCTTTGATTCCGAGGTTTTGTTGTGGGTAGATTTGATTCTTCCTTTGGGGTCTATACAAGGTGTTTTGTGACAGTCATATATGGTTTCGGGAATTATTTGGTAAGAAGTATGATCATTTGAAAATGAAACGTTTTAATTGGTGTAAATATGTCTTTCTGTGTTTCATTGCAGATCATATAAAAGAACCTTTCCTAGAGGGAATTCAGAATGATCGTTTAAGGTCTATGCCCGCAAGTTTCCTTCCTCCTTCACCAGTAAATAAAAGAGGTAGAATTTAATAAAAGAGATTTTAGAAAGTAGTCACATGACTACATGGGATTAATGCCCGTTTATCTACCAAATTACTCAAATGTATTAAATAATTAAGTACTATTGAACTGCAGTTACTCATTACCTCTAAAATTAGTTTAACATTCATACAGTAAAGAGGTTGCAGGGGAAGCAGCGATGAGGAGTATGAAATTGGGAGATAAAATAAAGCCTTATGGATTCCAGCAGTGCCCCACAACCCCTGTCTTTCTCCACTTCCCTCTCTTTTTTATCTTCGTTTCTAGTACCGCCTTCTCTCGTGGCTTTTCCTACTGCCTCCTCCTCTTCTTAGGACAAAGTGAGAAGCAGAAGTGGGTGGCATTTTAGGCAGCAATTAGGAAGGAAAAGAGGAAATAGCAAGCAGTGATTGTGGATGTTCCCTGACCAATGTAAGAAGAATATTAATAATTTGAGGACTCTTTTATAACAAGGTGGAGGTGCCAGTGTAGGTTACCTTAGGGAAGGAGAAAAATTCAGCTTGGATTCAGTCCAGGTTTATTCTGTTTATTCAGTTATCCAGAGGTAACTTGATTTAAATTTTGTTATTAAGTATTTAAATAAATATTTTTAGTTACCCCATTGTTTTCCAAACTACTTCCTCTCTAGCTCAGCATTTCTAATCAAACTTAACTTAAAATTTCATCTTACCTCACAATATTGTTAGCCTACTATAATCAGAGTAAAGATTTGGGGGGAGACTTTATTTTCCTCTTTTAGGGTATGATATCTAGCTTTAATGTCTTATTTTTAGGAGGCCTCTTTCAAAGACTATTGACTTTGAATTATTTGAAGATCCTTGGCTGCTAAAGTGCTGTTATCGTTAGTTCTAAAAATCTATAATTAAAAGTCCTTATTATTATGAGGCACAGGTCCCCACAAGAAAGGACAGGCATATCCTCGTGTTCAGGAGTCTGATTGTATAAATGGGTTCATAATAAACTTAAATGAGCCAAAATACTCTTAATATTGTTTGACTTAAGGTATTATTGTAGTTTTCATTTATTAAAGTTCATTATTGAATTTTGATAGAGGTCCTACTCTACTTTGTACATTTGATTGCAAAAATGTTTAGCATAAAATAATAACCTGATTTTAGATTCTTGAAGGTTCACTAGAGGAAAATTTCACTTGTAATTATTTTTTCTTAATTTTTTTCCTCTATAGTCTTGTCTCCTATTCTTCTTTATTAACTTTATCTTATTCTGTTATTCTTTATTAACACCAGTTAATAACAATGAACAGAGTAGTGATAATGAAAGGATGCTACAAATAGTCATTTCTTTGTTTCTTGGGGCAGGTGTTCTAATTTTGGGAGATGCCTATAACATCCGACATCCTCTTACTGGTGGGGGAATGAGTGTTGTTTTCAATGACATAAAAATATGGAGGAGCCTGCTAAAGAGCATTCCTGACCTCTGTGATGAGAGAGCACTTCTGCAGGTAAGCTATTTCATCCTAGTCTTCAGAGGAACTTGCCTGTCCTGGACATCTGAAGCAGCTCGTTGTGTGATCTGTGCTGTATGTTCTCTGCTCCGTGATAAAGGAGATTTGTGGGGCCTGAAAGTTCTGCTTTGGTGTAACCTTTAATTCTTCAAGGACTCTAATTTCTGTATCAGGACATTGGGTTTTATACTTAGTTGTATAGAACGCTTTCATCTAATAAAGCATATAAATTCAAGCTAAGGGAATTACTCCGGCTCTAGAGGTCACTGGGGCTAAGTCCATTGTGCCATTAGTCAGAGATGAGCAACATAACCTCAGTTTGGGGGAATTAGAAATATCACTAGGAAAATTTACTTTTCTTCTTCATTCTTACATTGTAAAAGATCTACTTTTTTCTTTTTTTAGGCCCAAGATTCATTCTATCAGTCAAGAAGAAAGTCCCATTCATTTGTTGTGAATGTTCTTGCTCAGGCTCTGTATGAATTGTTTTCTGGCACAGATGGTAAGTGAGGGATTGTAATCATGGAGTGTTAGAAGTGAAAGAGCTTTAGAGCTCTACTACATGCCTCATTTTACGGATGTGTAAGTAGAGACCACCTATAGCTAAGAAATGGCAACAGAGTCTTAGCTACCAGTGAAGTGTGTTTTTTCCACAATATACTTAGCATCAGTCCTTTGGTGAGTATAGGGGATATGGAGAAAAACCCTATTATTCTACAGATTTTATATATTGTGGGCTAAATCAGGTATCCTAATATAAAATGGTGCTGTGTGATTATAATGAAAGGGCAGACCCAATAGCGGGCCACCATATTATGTTATTGCTGCCCCTTTTCTGTAACTCTGTGATTATCCTCAGAGGAAAAGTAGAATGTAAGCTTCTTAAGGGCAGGGACTATTTTTGGTTTTGTAATTGTGTCCGAAGTACTTAACATAGTGTCTTGTATATAGTAGGCACTTGAAAAATGTTTGCTAATTTGAAAAAAGAGGAAATTTCTCTTCAAAGTCTGAGTCTCTGGGTTTTACTTTTCCCCCTTCTCTTGGGGTACCTTTTCCCCACCTTGTCCACTGCAAGACAGCAAATGCTTTTCATTAAAGCACATAAGCATTTTACCTACAGTGAGGAGCCTTTGAACACAAACTATGAACACATTAGGTAAATTACAAATATTCTGTATGATAAATTTGCATCAGTTTTGAACATTAATCAGTTGCCTACAGAAACTGTAATTTTCAACATCCTCCCAGATGGCCCTTATTCTTGGGGTCACAACTTTCCTTGGTAGGTTAACCCCTTTAAAGCTGCATATTTTCCTTCTCTGTCTCTGTGTCTGTCTGTCTCTGTCTTCTCATTTCTTTCCTCTCTTCTCTTCTTTCACCCCTCTCCCCCCACCTTCTTGGAAGAATCAAGCTCTTTTCACTTAGGGCCCTAAGTTTGTTTCTCAGGTTCAAGTCAAAATTACTCTGAACCTTGACAGTAACCCCAGAAATTCCTAGATCTGCTTATTCTTCTGTTCTTCCTTTCCCTGCTTTTCTATGAAGCAGTAATTTAAGGCCTTCATTCTTCTGCTCATCTTATTTTCTTCTCTGTTCTGAAACCATTGTTTTCTGTAAGTACCCATTTCCTTATATTTCCATCCTTTTCCACTCCACTCTTCCAGTAGGGGCAGCCATCCTTACATCTGAGATCATGGTCTCCACTTTCTGCGGAAGTCACATTTTCAGGCTTTGTCTTTCCTCAGAAACTATCCACATACAGAGTAGTGTATCTACAACTCAGTGTTTATTCAGTTTCTCAGTTGCCAGCGGGGCATGTCACACCTCAAATCTAAGTTTTTTTTCCTCCTAGTAGCATTGTATGGATTATATAAGAAAATCAACTTCATAAATAATTCTTTAGAAAAGTAAGTGGCTTCTTACATAGCAATTACATTCAAATGATCTTGGAATGGAAGGAGAGTTTATTTTGATGAGCAGTAAATGCATTTTTTACTAATTCTTGTCTGGATAACGTAGACTATAACATTTGCAGGAAGAATGGGTTAGTAAAATTGAGATTAGGAAAATTTTTCTATCTACAAGTTTTGATTATAATTAGATTACATTCTAATAAGGAATTCTGGCTTATCTTTAGCTTTTGAATATTGCTATTGTGTTGATCAATACATGAATATTTTGATTAAAGATAATTTTAAAATCATATTATAGAGACCCTGCATCAGTTAAGAAGAGCATGTTTCTGTTACTTCAAGCTTGGAGGACGATGTATTGCTGGTCCTGTTGGGTTGCTCTCTGTGTAAGTTGTGTAAATTTAAACTTACCACACAAATTAATCAAACATCTTATGGTTAGTTTGACTAGACAGTAATGTTTACTATGAATTATTCGTGATGTCCAGTTTTCCTTGCTGATACCTTTTGGCTGTATTTTTTGCTCACTAGCATCTTCATCAGGAGATGGGCAAGAACATTGAGAGAAAATCTGTGAGCAACTATTGTGGTAGAGGTTTTTAAATAAAACCTGTGACTGAGATGAAAGTTTTTGATTATTTGAGGTTTAATCCATACTATCCATTCTGTTGTTACCATTGTAATTAGATATTTTTAGAGTTAATTTTAACAAATGGGTGGAATCATAAAAAACATTAGGAATATTTAAAGTTCAGGTATTTCTAAGAATATGTTCCTAAAAAATTGGCTGGAAAATGAAACTATTAGGCCTTTTTCACTGATTAAAAAATTTGTCTTAAGTTTATATATGTTACAGTTTATATAAAGTTGTTACAGAAAAAGTTATCTTTGAGGTTCTATACCACTTAGCTGGTCTAGGTACAAGTCTTCAGGAGGATTTGTTCTCCATCCAGCTGTCGGGGGTTATAGAAGCTGGGAATCAAAGAATTATTTAAACTATAAAAGAGCTGCAGTGTTTTTTAAAATCAGGTTTCCCAAAACAAACCAGGTTATTATCATTAAGCTTGGAAAAAATAAGTGCTAAAACTCCTTTGAATTGGGAGAATAGCTGTTTAATTTAAAAGATGCAATCATAATTGATACCCTATTGAATTTTTAATAATGTTTAAATGACTAGGTCTTTCTAATATGTAATTTTTTTCGTTATAGATTGTCGCCTAATCCCATGACTCTACTTGGACATTTTTTTGCAGTAGCTTTGTATGCTGTTTACTTTTGTTTTAAGACAGAACCCTGGATTACAAAACCACGAGCCTTTTTCAGCAGTGGTGCTGTCTTTTACAAGGCTTGCTCTGTTATATTTCCTCTCATTTATTCAGAAATGAAATACTTACGTTAAACTTAAGGGAAGCCCATTGGAGAATGAGTACATGGAATTCATCAGGCCTTAAGAGACTTTGGGAGGACTTGTACTGCTGAATGCTATACTAACACACAGACACATGGGCAAGATGGGGATTAATTTGTTTTTGACCTTCTATGTGTGTAAACAGTTGTAAATAAATGTTTTGCTTTTGGAATTAAAATGAAGACTGTTAGATATCTAAAGAGAAATGGTTGTTAAATCACAAATCAGTTTTAAGTCCTGATAGCGAAAACATGTTTTCTTTTGGGATCCATTATGTTTAGTATGTGAAAACTATGCAAATAAACTAAATGATGATTGAAATCTTATGGCTTTGCTTCTTTTGGTTGGCATTTACATCTAAGCCTCAAGAAAATGGAAAAATAATGTTTTCCATAGATTCTAAAAAGTATAAAATTGGAGATCCCTGAGAACTCTTGTAGAGAAACATTGAAAAAAAGGATGAGCAAGCAATTTTAGGATTAAACTGCAATCCAGTTCATTTAGTTTGGCATTATAGCCAAACTTAGTGATGTCGGTCATTTTAAGAAAAAAAGTTTGAAAAATGGAAGAAATAATTATTTGTGGGACTATTTCAGTTGTTTATTTATTTTTACATTTGCTGTATCATTGAGTAACTGTAAATATGTGTTTAAACATATTTGACTCAATTGTGTCATGGCAGATAGGAACAGGGCAGTAGGGAGAGAACAGCCAGGGACACTATGGCATCATTCTGGACACTATAGAGATGAGAATAATGTTGCGGAGGTTTGGGGAAGGCAGACACAGTGACACACTGTGAGTAAAACTGAATTGATCCAACTGTTCTGGAAGACAATTTGGAATTCTATGAGAAAAGTTGTTAAGGTTTTCATATCCTTTGTTCACTATTAGCCATTACCTTTAGGAGACTAAGACGGAAGACCCACCCTCCTCACTTCCCTACACATCCATATTGATAAGTCCCCAGTGAGCAACTCTTAAGCACCTACTATGTTCCAACCCTGTGCTAAGCTCTGGGCCTGCAAAGAAAGACAGTCCCTGCTCTCATAGAGCTCACTGTCCCATAGGGAAGACAACATGCAAACAACCGTGTACAAAGAGGATAAATTGGAAATAATTACATCACTTTTTTGTAGCCTTCTGGATGCCCCAGGTGACACTGCATCCCTGGTCATCCTTTTCTCCTAACCCCTGACCCATTGGTCCCACAGGGGGTGTCAGAAAACCCTTTGCCACTTCTTGATCCAAATACCTTGTGTTTGTGTTATGTGTATTTGGTCTATATTTACATAGGTCCATGCAATCTTTGAAGATTAAGATTGTTTGACTTTTGTATTTCTGTTCCCACCACCTAGTCCAGTGCCTGATACATAATAAATGCTTAAATGCCCGCTGATGAATTTCTGTTACTCAGCATACCTGTCCTTCAGTGTTTACTATTTTCACCCAATAGATACTGGCCCCTAAGATACTTCCTCCTTTCTCAATGAGTTACTGCTAGGCTTAGGCTTCTCCATCCCAGCTCCTGTCCTTATTCAGGGGATTTCAACATACATGTTAATATTCCTTAGAACACCCTAATATCCCCTAGTCATGAACTTCTTTTCTACCCCATCTCAACTATGCATAGGGATGATCATACTACCCTTGATCTTACCATCATCTGTCATTTTCATCTGGAAGCCTCTAGTGTCTCGACCTCTAGATTCTGAGCTCTTTTGGGACACAGAATTGCGTTTCATCTAATGAGAGCTTAAACTTTGTTAGCCTTAGAACTCCTACCTTCTAGGAAATACAGTATCTGTCCCAAGCCTCTGTCTTACTAATCTCCATTGACTCCCATCATTTGACCTAGAGCTGGGCCACCATTTTAGCCTTGTCTTTCCCAAAATGTGCAGTCAGTCTTTCTTAATCTGACAGCTGTATGTGAAGGTCTGCCTTTTAAAAGAGTTAAAGAGGAATAAAGGTAGCACCTCAGCTGAGGCTTCTGTGTACCAGAGTGAGGAAGGCCAGGAGAGAGAAGAAACAGACCTGAAGCCAGGCCTTCAGGATGCAAGGCTATACAGCACCTGTTAGAGGCAAATGACCTCTACTTGTGTGTGTCTCATCCTCGTGTGCTCTTTGCATGGGTGCCCCTTCAAAACTCCTGCCCCAGCGTGGGTGAGCCCTTTGCACATACACTCATCTCATTGATAGTGTGTTCATTGGAGAGGGAATGTGCCCCGAGTGCATGGGGTAGGTATTCTATTTTTACTTTGCTATTGCACTGAACTATTTCATTTTGAAACAATCGTGTCCTCTTGATGCATCAAAGTGAACACGTCAGGCATCACAGCTGTTTTGAAGTAGATGCAGGCCCACAAAATACTTTGAACCTAAGGTTGTTTTTCAGGGTGCCTCAGGTGCTACCAAATTATATCCCTCCCCTGTTGAATGTAAACTTGAGGGTAGGGTCCCCATTTTTCAGGCCTTACTCTTAAGGCTTAATAAATGTTGAATAACATGATTAGAATGAGAAATGTGGAGTGGGAGGGTTGGATAAGATGGTCTCTGAGGTCCTTTCTAATTCCAAGATCTACAAATCTTACAAAACAGAGTCCATCACAATGGAGTAGAATGAAGAGTCCTAGATTTGGAATCCAGGGATGGGAGTTCAAATTCATCTCTGCCAAAGTGACTTTGGGCAGGTTATTTAATCTTCATGGCCTTCATTTATCTGTAAAATAAGACACTTGTTCAGTCATGTCCAACTCTTCGTGACCCCATTTGGGGTTTTCGTGGCAAAGATACTGGAGTGATTTGCCATTTCCTTCTGCTCATTTTACGGATGAGGAAACTCAGGCAAACAGGGTTAAGTGATTCATCCCGGGTCACACAGCAAGTTAGAATCTGAGGCTGAATTTAAACTGAGTTTTCCTGATTCTAAGCCCAGGACTCTTTATCTATCCACTGTGCCATCTAGCTGCCTCCCAAAATAAGAGGCTTAAGCTAGATGAACTTTGAGTTCTCTTTAAACTCTAAATATATAATCCTCTGATTATATGTGAATAGCAGTGAAAGAAATGCCTAGTATTCACAGGAAAAAAAAGAATGGTATAAAGAGAGGTAAAGAACCTTTCCTCATATTTTACTGGAAAAAAAAAAGTGAAACCATTTTTGAGAGCTCCTCCCTTCTTCATCTCACACCAACCAGATGTTTTCTGTCTGTCTTATTCACCTCTGTCTCACATGAAGAGGCGGCCCTCCTCCTTGCCAAGGTCCACATGCACAGATGATCCCATTCCATCCTGTCTCCTCCAGTAAATTGCCCCTTCTGTCATCCCCACTCTCACACTTATCTTCAGTCTATCCCTGTCTACTGGCTTCTTCTTTACTGCCTACAAACATGCCAATGTCTCCCCATCCTCAAAAAAAAGAAAAAACCCTCACTTGATCCTTCCATTTCTAACTTGCCCCATGTCTCTCTTTCCTTTTGTGGTTACACTTTAGACCAACTACAGTAGATGTCTCCACTTCCTCTCCATTCCTTTCTCCTTAACTCTATAGTCTGCTTCTGACATCATTCCACCGAAACCACTCTCTCCAAAATCACTAATGATCTCCTAATTGCCAGATCTAATGACCTCTTCTCAATCCTCATCCTTCTTGACCTCTCTGCAGCCTTTGACATTGTTGATCACTCTCATTGATAACTCTCTTCTCCCTGGATCTTTGGGACACTACTCTCTCCTGATCTTCTTTTTACCCGTCTGACCATTCCTTCTCAGTCTCCTTTGCTGAATTCTCATCCAGGTCACACCCAGTACCCACGAATGTCCCACAGGGCTCTGACCTGGGTCCTCTTTTCCCTCAATGCTATTTCACTTAGCGATCTCATTGCTTCTCATGGATTCAATTATTATCTCTAAAGAATTAATTATATTATTTCTCTCTCTTTTTTTTTTTTTTTTTGCTTAGGCAGTTGGGGTTAAGTGACTTGCCCAGGGTCACACAGCTAGTAAGTGTCAAGTGTTTGGTCTGAGGTCGGATTTGAACTCAGGTCCTCCTGACTTCAGGGCCAGTGCTCTATCCACTGTGCCACCTAGCTGCCCCAATTATATTTCTGAAGAATCTGAATGCAGATTTTGCATAAACTTTAAAAACTTCATTATTCTTTTTTTTGGTCTGACTTCTTTTGCAAGATGACTAGTATGGAAATGTTTTGCATGAGTACATGTATAATCTGTATCAAATTGCTCGCTTTCTCAGAGAGGGAGAGAATTTGGAACTCAAAATTTTGAGGAACAAATGTTAGTTTTTGTTTGCATATAATTGAGAAAAAATTTTTTTAATTTAAAAATTTTTTTTTTTAATTTTTAAAAAACCAATTATCATCTCTATGTTAGTGATTCTCAACACTACTTATCCAGCCCTAACCTCTCTGTTGACCTCTCCAGCTGCCTATTGGACAACTCAAATTGGATATCTAGTAGACATCTTAAACTCAACACGTCCAAAACTGAACTCATCATCTTTCTACCCAAACCCTCCCTGCTTCCGAACTTCCCTGTACCTATCAAGGGCACCACCATCCTCCAAGTCCTCCCCCAAGCTCACAACCTAGGTGTCATCCTTGACTCCTCATTATCTCGTCACCCCCTATATCCAATCTGCTGCCAGGTCCTATCTCTGCTGGTTCTAGCTTTGTAATATCTCTTGCATACATTCCTTTCTTTCCTCTGAAACTACCACTGCCCTGGTGCAGGCCCTCATCATTTCATGCCTGGACTACTTATTGTAATAGCCTACTGATTAGTCTGCCCACCACAAGTTCTCTCCCCATTCCAACCCATCCTCCACTCAGCTGACAAGGTGATCTTCAAACAGAGCATGTTTACTTCATCACCTCTTCCCCTTTGCTCCCACTCAATAAACTCCAATGGCTTCCTAGCACCTCTAGAAACAAATATAAAACCTGACATTCAAAGCCCTTCATAACCTAACGTCCCCCCCTTTCCAGTCTTCTTATACCTTATGCTCCTTTACATGATCTTCGATTCAGTGACACTGGCCTCCCTACTATTCCTCAAACAAGACATTCCATCTCCTGATTCTGGACTGGCTGTCCCCCTCGCATAGAATTCTTTACCTCCTCATCTCCGCTTCCTGGCTTACCTGAAGTCACAGCTAAAATCCCACCTTCTACAAGAAGTCTTTCTCGACTTGTATGATCTGGTACTGAGTGAACTGACTGTTGTACACAATAACAGCTACGTTGTGTGATGACTAATAGTGATAAACTTAACTCTTTCCAGCAATACAAGGATCTAAGACATCTC